TTTAAGCATTAGTTTTATCAACTGCAGCTCACCAATGCTAACCTTGCACGTTTCAAGGGGCTTGTAAGCAGCATCTAAATGATTTGCTAACCGAGTCTGCACAGTCTAATAACTCTAATGGCCCGTAATCAATTTTTTTTTTTTTTACCCTGCACACCAATATTAGAAATGCCAGCAGCGTATATTTCCTAGATTGGAGCCCTTCTTTCTAGATTAAGAGCTCCCTCATGCCACAACTTGTGACGTCCAGTGGTTTATGCAGGGCATTTGTTCTGAGCATTTGATAGGCCCTTGGACTTCATTGCATAAGCCAAATAGACTCAATTTTGCTGTGTCAACCTCATCTCTTGGAGGCGGCTAGGGAAGCTGAAAGGAGGCCTTTATGTCTCTGAGAGGCTTATTAGGCTCGGGGCAAGTCTGACATCCGCCGCAGAGTTGCTTGCCCATGGCTCTGTTGGTTCAGTGGCTCTGCTCCCTCACCTGTTTGCTCTTTTGTGGTGCGGGCTGACTGTAAACTGTTGCTACATTCAGACGAGGCATTACTAAAGGGCCTATTTATGCAAAAGCAAATACTGCAGGCTTACTTTAAGAGCTGTTTTCAGATGATTTTCATTTACTGCCTTCTTCCTTTATTTATTTATTTTGGTGGTTTGTGGTCCATCCTTAATTGGTTATTTAGTTAATGACAGTAGTATAACTTGCATTAGTGTTATTTTATATAGCACCGGACCTCAACTTTTATAGGGTGCTAAAGTAAACGTTTTAAATGTGCTCCATGTTTCTCGACATGGATACACAGCTATTAAATTCATGAAACCATTTTTTTTTAGGTTACGTTCTCCTCTGCATGCCATGTTGTGGCGGTTGGATTTTGTTGACTTTTAAATGACCATTTACAGACCAGAGTTTGTATCCTTGCATATGTCTTAAAAGGTTAAGTAGGAATAAATGTCAGATTATTAAAGACTAATTGATGATCAACTATTTGAGCATTAGGCTCAACATTAGGCTTCGACGACTGTGAACACGGTGACAGGATTGATTTCAGGGAAATAAAATTTTGGATAACCATTTTCATCAGTCAGTTACAACATAATGTGGTCAGTAGTTTTAGTTAAACAGTGATATGACTGTCAGCTCTCAACTGTGAGTTTGGAAATGTCTTACCAATGTAAAACCATCAAATCCACAAAAATGATTCCTGACGAGGCATCTGTTGGATCAGTTTTGGCCAATACTCCAGATTTTAATATCTTTGTCATTGTTGCAATTAGAAAAGGTAAAAGTTGTAATGCCATCCCTAGAGCCCAGTATATCAGTGGCGATGCTGATAAATATCCAAGACCTGAATGTCGACCAACTGTGATCTGTTGTACCTTACTGAAAATCTCTTGAAATGTGTGTAGACTTTGCATCTATGTGCTAACGTTTCTCTTCAGCATAAACCGCTCCATTCAGTGTTTCCCTAATCAAAGCAGGTCAAGTGCATGTTTACCAATCAGAATTTATTGTCCTAGTAGGCTTCCTCGTAGTAGGAAAGATCCTTCATTGACGCAAGGTGTTATTGGCTAAGATTTCACAACAAACCTGTTGTCTTCATCTTGCCCAATTTTTGGTCTTAGAGAGTTGCTTATGTGCCTGTGGCTTTTTCAGTAGGAGGCTGTGCTTTTCACAGTGGCCTTCTTGTTTGTTGTTTGATATATTTTTTGTATTTTGTATATATATTTTTTAGGTTTTATTTTGCCCTTGAGTGGTTTTGTCTAGGTTTTGGATCTTTTATTTAAGGGCTGAGGGTCGAGTATGCGGGACTGTTAAGTCTTTCTAAGAATGGAGTAGCTCCTGGCATTATGTACAGCGCTCTGACTCCACTGTCCCCTCCAGCAGAGAGACTCTGATTGTGTGAACCGTAACCTGAGCGCTGGGAGCGGTGTGGCCCATGAGAAAGGGTGTATGCAGCCAACAGGCTGTCTGTGTGTGTGTGTGTGTGTGTGTGTGTGTGTGTGTGTGTGTGTGTGTGTGTGTGTGTGTGTGTGTGTACTTGTTTTTGTACCTTCCTTTCCTGTCTTCCTTACTGAGCTAAAAACCATTTATATTTGGTTACTTACATTAAGGTTAGGGCTATATGGTATCAGTATCCATCCGAAATGTTTAACAGAAATTCACATAGGTGCCTCAGCAACTATATATAAAGTGTTCAGAATTTAGTAAATCCACCTGTTGCCTTTATTACAGCTTTCAGTTTTACAAAGAAATTTTCCACATCTCTGGAAATCTGAGACTAAACTTTGCTTCTCATGACACATTCAGTCTGGACTCTGAGGTGGTCAGTCCATTGTTCTGAGAACACCACCAGCTTCTTTGGTTCTTTGCAGTTTTTCCTTGTTTTTCTTTTCTCAGTAATGGCAGCTTGACAGCATCTTTTCAGACTCATAGTGTTGAGTTGTCTTCTCACAGTGGATGGATGGATTGAAAGATCTGTGGATTTTTTTTCAAATCTGAATCAAGAGTGGAGATTTACTTTACTCTTTCAAAGATGAAGAAGCTTGAAGTATTTTTTATCAGATGTTGGCCGTTTTTGATGATCTGCCAGGTTTGATTTAATAATATTTGAACTCCTTTTTTTCACTTATTTTCTTTATTTTCCCCTTTCTTATAGTAAGTACATTGTCTTATCTAATCTTCTGAACAATAAATAACTTGTATTTGACCTGCGAGGACCACGTGTGTGTGTGTGTGTGTATGTTTGTGTGTGTGTGTGTGTGTGTGTGTGTGTGTGTGCTTGCGTTAGTATGGCCGTTAAAGTGCGTATGTATGTGTACGTGTGTGTGTGTGCGCTGCAGTCTCGGCTTACGTGGAGGTTTGAAATGGATTCCCAGCCGCCGGCCCTTCCACGTCCCACCTGCATTCCCACAATGCCTCTTTGTTCCTGGCCCATGGCACTGTGAGATAGCTGTTATCCGAGAGGCGAGGGCTGGTCACCACCGACTTTTTCTTTCAGAGTAAAGATGGTAAACTCCTGCTATCTGGTTTCATTGTACCTGAGTCGGACTCTGGGGAGCGTGTGGGAGCGAGAGCGTTCTGTGCTTCTCCACTTTGTTTGCTTGCACTCCATGTACTACGGTTAACTCCACACACTGCAAGTGAAAAGTGCTATTTGGGGCAGTTTGAAATCTCTCATAGTCCCTGGTAACAGTCCCACACTGTGTTTAAGGATGAGGTGCTTTCTGCAGACCAATCAGACAGACCGATGAAAGGAACAAGTGCTTTTCAAGTATTTTGTTTTTCAAGTAAAGGTGAATTTCCAGGGAAAACTCAAGTTTAAGGCTGTCTGATATGACTGATGTTTTCCTTTCCATTTTCTGTTATGGCTTGACCTTTTTTACACAGTTGGATTGATTTTTTTTTTGTTTTTTGTTCAAGAGCTCACATATTCAATATATTGGGAGATTAAGTCAATAACCAGTTGTGTGTTGCACCTAACTTTGAGTGATGGATGTTAGGTGAGCCATTAAAAATTGAAAGCAAATAAAGAAACAAATAGAAAAAGAGAGAGAAAACCTGGTAGTTTCTGCACAGCTTTAGTTGTTTTTGCAGTTGTCAAAACTTCAGCTCACTTCCTACTCGATGCTTCTCAACTTCGCTTCAAACGTGGCTGGGCTGAGCAGAGGAAGTGTGGCTTTTCCTGTTCTTTGGTTTGTTATTGTTGCACAGCCCTTTATTTGAATAACTGAAAAGGGCCAAAGGGGTGCACACCATCGATTCTGCGCTTAATTAAGGATGGACGATGGCCACGGCTGGTCTTCCCCTGTATGCCCTAACACGTGGGCAGTCGGAGCCAAATGGGTAGTGATGTCTCTTTCTTTATATTCTCTCTCTCTCTCTCTCTCTCTCTCTCTCTCTCTCTCTCTCTCTCTCTCTCTCTCTCTCTCTCTCTCATTATGCCTCTGCTCTTCCAGATATGGCAGGCCAGCCAGGGGTTTTCCCACCACCAGCCACTCAGACATAATTGATTTAATGAGACTTAAAAACTGCAATTTTGATTTTATCGTGAGTTCTCTCTAACATGTCATGTAGTTTCCACATAAGTGTTATTTTAATTCCTAATGGGTTGTGTATCACTTTCCCCAGTGGTTTCTTAGATGATTTTCTACCATTCAGAAGTGATCTACAGGATCATCCAGCATGAACCCTTATAAATGCTTTTTCTAAAACAATTGATTTTAGGTTTTTTTTTTTTTCCTCCTTTCTTGTGTTTGTAAGCGATACAGCACTTTCTGTTTTAGGACAAGCGTCGAGGGATGTGTAAAGTCTCGCTAGCCAAAGTTGCAGAAACACTAACCGCACTGTCCCACAGATCTGTCCTTACCCAGTTTGAGCCAGTGGAAAAAGCCGCCCTGGCTTTGGCGCTTTCACTGCTGGACTGGCCAGTGTTAGGGGTTTCTGGGGCATTGGTCTGTTGTCTTTTTAAAAGCACTCTGAGTGTTGGTTCCTAAAAGGGTTCATTCACAAAGAAGTGGCACGGCGTGTGTGTGTGTGGTGGGGGGGACTCTGCTGTCAGGGCGCGTTTGGATGATGTACTGTAAATGTTCGGGGCTCAGACTGCTGGGGCTCCTTATCATAACATCCTCCGCTACGAGGCGGACTGTTTGTTCTGAAGCTCTCCAACTGCCTTAGACCCAGACGAGGAAGAGAGAGAGAGCTCCCTTCACTTACTCAGCTCCTCACCAGCCTCTCACGGTGATGCGGCCTTCGGCACAGTTCAGCTTTTGAATGAAAATCACTCAAATTCAAGATGAAGTGAACACAATTGAATCCTCCGCATCCTCAGAATGCTGGTTTTCATTTTGAAAGCAGTTTAGATGCATTGTAAGTTTGGATGAGTGAACTAATATCCTGTAGACTTTAAGAGAAATTTTATAAGTCTTCAGTGCATGAAAAAGCAGCTTTCATCTTTATTTGTGTAGTAAACAAGTATCTCTACTTTGTTTTTCTGGATCTAGTCGTGACATGGAAAATAAGGAGACACTGCGTGGGCTGCAGAAAATGGAGGATCGGCCGGAGGAGAGAATGATCCGTGAGAAGCTCAAGGCCACCTGTATGCCCACCTGGAAACATGAGTGGCTGGAGAGGAGGAACAGGAGAGGCCCTGTGGTGAGCAATCGCACTCACTCATGCACTCGTAGTGTCACTACCAGGAGTTAATTTTGGCATTTAGGAAGGGGTGGAGCTGTTGGCAGTGAGTGTGGGGGACGTTGTGAATTAATAATCATCTTTGCAGTTGATTTATTTATCTAGCTAATCACTAAGCCACCAAGCATTCTGATTACCTAACACACTGCAGATCTTAAAATACAGGCTTTAAATCCAGTTTCTGGTTCTGTATTATGAAATCACTGTCAGTTAACTGATTTGTTGGTGTAACTGATTGGCCATCTAGTATTATACCTACCTTTGATTACAAAATCCAGCACTGGAAATTGGATTAAAGGTCTGGATTTGAAGACCTCTGGCATTAATAATCAAGATCAGTTAGTTGGACAGTGAACTTAACTGAACAGTAAAAAAAAAAAAAAAAACTTGATTTCATGTGATTTTATGCACCTCATGTCTCATAACCTTTAAACTTCACCACAAGCAATGAATAGGCCACTCAGTGGGGCATTTGTTCTCTGAAACATGATGGGTCCTTAGTTTTTCATGACTTGGTGACTGAATATGGTAAAATGTTCATGGCAGGTAAAATATTAATTATATAATGAAAAAAATACCCCCCATCTAGACTACCTAGGGTACCAGAACAAAGCTTCAAATCATTCCAGCCTGTAATTGCTCCTCTCTAGGACCAGATCCACTTTTTGATTTGTGTGTTGATCGTTTTGTGTATATATGGCTGTAAGCAGGTTGGGTCATGCAGCTATCCCAAGAGTGTCTGTGAAAGGCTCATTCAGACCCAGTGTTTTGGCATGTTCTTTGCCTAAATCATTCCAGGTTAATTGCCATTTTGACAAGACCTATCAGATAACGATTGCTCTGGCTTTGCTAACGTTGTTTAAAAGCAGCAGTTTATGTTTGTCAGTAGAGGTCCTATGATTAGAACTTGTGGTGAAGTATGTTTGTGTGTGTGTGTGTGTCTTCTGTAAGGTGGTAAAGCCCATCCCCCTTCGGCCGGATGGAAGTGAGGCTGGTCGGCAGGGTCTTGAAGCCGGCAGCGACAGCATGAGCTCCTCTTCCTCTCTGAGCAGGGGTCGCCGCAGCCCCTCCCCTGGACCCTCCTCGTCCTCTGCTTCCTCCACCTCCTTATCCACCAAAATCGGCAGCAAACCGGAGTCTCCGGGCGTTCGCAGGAAGAGGGCATCCCCAGTCCCTGTGAGCTTCACTTACACAGTCTGTTTACAAAAAAAATTACAAAAAACGCGACTGCTCAGATGATTACTGCTTTTTGTATTTCATCTGTCATAAGAAAACCTCATGTCTCAGACATGATAAATTTAATACAATTGTGTTCCATGCATCATGAAATGTTAATGCTGTGCAAAAAAATAGCAGGCATTTTCAAATGGTCTAAGAAAATTTTAAAAAAGCAGTGTTGTCTAGCGGTTTTCTCATGACCTGTGATTTGGTTGATTCATTTCTTATCGTTTTGTTTGTAATTCATCTGTGGTATAAAAACAAGAATTACTACAGAAGAATTCTGTTTAAATAAATCTGAGTAAACACAGACACACACTCATCAGTTACAAAATAAAGAACAAATCCACTATAAGCTTGTTGCTTATGCAGATGTTTTTGGCTTTTGTAGTTTCAGAGCGGCAGGGTAACACCCCCTCGTCGAGCTCCATCACCAGATGGCTTCTCACCTTACAGCCCAGAAGAGACCAATCGCAGGGTCAATAAAGTCATGAGGGCCCGTCTCTACCTGCTCCAGCAAATAGGACCCAATTCTTTCTTGATCGGAGGAGATAGCCCTGACAACAAATATCGTGTGTTTATTGGTCCTCAGGTAAGCTTCAGCATATGAAGAGTGAAAAGCTTAAAGTGATGTCTGGGCCAAAAATCCTATTTACCCGGTTTTCCCCTTTTATGTAGTCAAATGTAGTCAATCAGCCTGGACGTTTTCGAAGTTTGCCTCTTTAGTTTTGCACTGAAACTATGATGGTAATGCAGCTACCAGGTAATCGTGGCCTATAACAGGTGTGTCAAACTCTGATCCTGGAGGGCCAGAATTCAACACTGTTTGGTGATTTATTTATTTATTTTTTTCCCCTGCTCAAACACCCATGATTCACTTCATCGGTTAGTTGCATTTGAGACCCCTGGCTTATAGCTGCTAATAGCTGTTTTAACTATGTTTTAACTGTGTGATGCACTTCTGTCCTTTTTTAGATAACATTAAAAAAAAACAGGTGAGCTGAGAGAGAGTGTGAAGATCTAGGCCCATAACCAGGCAATCCAACTTTACGTGACTCAGCACTGGAATTTGAGTTAGACCAAAAAGGGGATAATACTAATATATGTCACTATTTCTTCTTTTTCTCTGTTCCAAAATTATCAGAAGGGTCTGCGTGGACTGAAAAGTGGATAAAGTTTAACTGTGCACTTTTGTTTGGCAGACCTGCAGCTGTGGTCGAGGGGCCTTCTGCATCCATGTTCTTTTCGTCATGTTGAGAGTCTTCCAGCTGGAGTCCTCAGACCCACTGCTCTGGAGAAAGACCCTCAAAAACTTTGAGGTAAAATGTAGAATCCTGTTATATCAAGCCAAATGCCCACATTTAAAGTTACCAAAGCAAAGCCATCTCGCAGTAGTAGTTGAGTTCACGCCTTGATGTCCATGTCCAGGTGGAGAGCTTGTTTCAGAAGTACCACAATCGGCGAAGCTCACGGATCAAAGCCCCCTCTCGCAACACCATCCAGAAGTTTGTTTCCCGCCTGTCCAACTCCCACACCAACTGCACCTCCAGCTCCTCACCATCCAGCAACGAGAGCAGGTCAGTACTCAGGCCTGCTGGCACTGCTGAGCGGTGCCAGCGCAGAGCAGTGAAGATGGGTGGAGATGCATTTCCTGGGTTTAATGTTCTTTGGCAGATACTGAATGTTCTAGTTGAGACATGCAAGTCTTTTTCTGTTGTGCTATTAACTTTAGAAAGTTTCAGATGTTCTCTGCTTTTTTTATACCATAAATACCATTTTTTGCCTAAATTTGGTAAAGCTGAAGCTTTTAAAAGGTCTGATTTGTTAGAAAGGAATCTGAAATAAAATGTGTGATCTTTTGTGATGTTTAAAGGAAGTGAAATTATCATAGCCATGCATTCATGTGGAAATACTGGCTATATGTGAAATATCAAGTCTTAATTTGCAGTTTATTGAGTTTATCGAGGCCTTCACATGAGATCTGTTTAATGCAGACTTTCATTTAGCTCTTCGGGTTTCTGTTGAGCTTACCGCAATGTGCAGGCCTTCTCTATCAAGCTAAAAGTCTAAGGGAATAATATGTGCATTGTCTCAAAAATTGGAAACTGAACTGGAGGCTTTTCAGTTTTGTGGCTATAGACATCCCCTGTAGCCTGGCGCAACACACTTTCCGTTGTAGTGAAATCCTCTCAATCATCCCGATAAGCATCTAGGCCAAATCACAGCCAGCAGTCTGAGATACACTTTCAGAAGAAAAAGTGTATCTCTTAAAGCACTGCTCTGTGTGTGTATATCCCATGTGCAGTATGAAGGACGAGGAAGAGCAGATGTGTCCAATCTGTCTGCTGGACATGCTGGATGAGGAGAGTCTAACTGTGTGTGAGGAAGGATGCAGGAATAAGCTGCACCATCACTGCATGTCCATATGTGAGTACCAGCAGATATACACCCATGCAGAATGCACACACTGACTTAACTGCGGTTCACCAACACTAATCGTGAAGATGCATAATGTTCAGTTCAGTGTCGGCCTTGCTTCACCCCTTCTGATTCAGCTTAAGGATGATATGATGATTAGCCGATGATTTAGAGAATGTGTTAGTTAGGATGTATAACTTGAGTCAACACCCCTAGACTACATACAATCTGCAGACCAAGGGACGCAGAGGTGCAAATAAATATGTCTGACTGGTGTAGTGTGGACAACGACAACAACTACTTCTAATAATATGATAATATATAACCGTTCATTTGTAATTATAATAATAAAAGTTATAATACTTTTATTTATGTAGCAACTTCTGTTTAGCCCCTTTCATATGTAGTGCAGCTTAAAATCCTTTAGTGTATGGAAGCAAAACAGTGTATGGCCAACAATAAATAACATGAGAACATGTCTGTTTACTTAAAGAAAAGAGTGTTAAAATGAGCGTTAAAATGACATGCATCCTTTATAAATAAATAATCTTATTATACAACATTTACGAAATTAAATGGCTAAATTCTAGAATCATCTGGTGTTTCTGCACTTATCATACATGACTTCTCATTCTCTTGCATAGTGAGGCTTAAAAAGATAATTCCACTGATTTTTTCCAAGGTTGTGAATAATTCAGTAGTTGATATATAAACATTCAGTCATTCAGGGTGGTTTGATCTTAAATGGTTCATTGTAGAGAAATTGAGCATTTTACACCAGACCACTATTAACGACAGCCTAATGATTTTAATTATGTATGAATTTTGGAAAAAAAACTTGGAATTCACCCTTTTAGGAATAATGTTTAAAGACTTCTTGTATCTATCCCTGACTCCTCACAGTTGACTGAGTCTGTCCCTCTTGCCATCTCATTACAGGCAGCTTCACTACAGTAGGCACAGCTCATCAAAAACTAAATCGGTTTGTGCCAACGCTTGGCCTTAATTTTAAAAGGCTGTCTAATTGGTTCAGTCCTCTTCCGAGGCTGGATGTCCACTGACAGCCTCTCAGGAGCTATCTCCTCCTGGACGATTGATGTGGAATTAAGCCCATCTCTCTCTCCATTTTTTTTTTTTTTGTTTTTCAGGGGCAGAAGAATGTCGAAGAAACCATGAACCCTTAATCTGCCCTCTGTGTAGGGCCAAGTGGAAGTCCCATGACTTTTACAGGTAAAAACACTCTAAACATGTTCTTTTAAAAGTAGCCTTTTGTGTAAGCTGCCCTGCAAATTCATTTGTTTTCGAGGGAGACGATTCTTACTGGGTGCCATAGGTTCCCTTGAACAATAACAGTTGTGGATTATGGGTAATTTCCTAATAATATAACCTCTTCGAAAGGGTGTACCAGGAATACAAGCTATTGTTCAGTTTGTGTGCTGTCACGGACTGCAGCGTTTCCAGTCTGTGCTGGAGGAAGCACCTGCACATGGCTGGGGTGAAAGGGCTTGCATAGTACGAGGTGAAGCTCAGAGATAAGACAATCAGATGTGGTTCAGGAAACGAGGCAGAAGCCTCCTGTGCGTTCGGAGCTGCAGCGGACGGCTACGCGTAGACACAGGAAGAAAAAGGGGCCTGTGGAAAAACAAGCAAACGGAAAGCTTTGATAGCCCCCTCTGCCACTGTGGGCTGGAGCATTGTGCCAGGCCGTTCACATCAGGCCTAATATGACCCAACAGCCCAGACCACAGTGGGAGCTCAAGAATGCTACTGTCAACAGGCCCAAATTAGACCTCTAGACCACTAACGCTAGCTTAATTCAGCCAGCAGGCAGAAGTGGCACTAAAACCTTTGTTGATATGTGAATGTGCCCTATGTTCAATACACAATGTCACTACAAAGGATCAGATGGTGAAATGATTTAAATTGTCTTTTGTTAATCAAAGGAGGCCTCAACTCTGAATACCTTGAACTGCAAACTTGTTATTCAGTAACTTCTATAAATCGTTTGGTAGCTCTTATTATACTAATTCAAGTTATGAACACTCGAAAATAGAGGTTCCTGATTGGATGTATCTTGCATATCTCGTTCACATAAATGAGGCATTACGTCTTTTTCAGTGTACTTCTAAGAACAATTAATTGAAGTGTTGATCCGCGTACAGGTGGAGGACCAAAAAACCAAAACAATGTCCAAATAAATGAGAGAGTGTTTTTTTTAATTTAAAGTACTTTGGATTTGCTTTGTTCTTTCTTAGAAGAGGGTGATGAGGTTGGAGAGGGTGGGAGATGTTTAGATGCTGTGTGTTGGGGCATCAGCAAGTTGGAATTCACTGTGCTAGATCTTCTCTCAGTGGTTAGGTGAGCTAGACAGGCCGGCACCCCCTGTGTTTTGTGTGTCTGCCCAGGCCTGAAATGCTAGGAGCTAGCTGGGTTCACAGTGACTTCTACCCCCCAAGACATGAATACAGCTCCGATGTGGGATTCTCCCCACACAAAAAGGCCTGAAACCGAACCCTGTTGTTTTTCTCCTGGAAACAGCAATTAGTCTAATTTTGCTGAATAAATTTAATCTCCAGATGGCACTTTTCCTCTCTTAATACCAAGCAGGTTGTGTTGCCTGGGTAATATATGTGGAGTATTTGGTAATTCAACAGCAGCAGTTTCCTTGTGTAGCATATTACTAAATGTTAACCTCATACTTTCTTGATTGAATGACTATATAGCAACATTATCCAGTCTCTGTTTGTAAGCTTAACTATCCAGTAAAGTTGTATTTTCCCTTCTAGCAAAGTTCAACTGCAAAGATAGAGGTGAAACTCAACAGGTGCTGTTATACTGGTCATACATCCATGATAAATTAGTGCTTTTGGCTAGTTAGTAGTTCTTTGACCAGTTACAGTTTTTGATAGATTAAACATCGTGGTATTTGGCATCATCTGGCTTTATAGTTCATAAAAAAACTGTCCAAATCTATTAAAATATCTTTTTCCAATGATGTTCTAGTCAATGATTAGAGATTTTGATAGTGTGAGCAGGATCCATCTTCAGAACAAAAATATTGCTTGCATTTCTGTTTCCTTCATGTATTTACTAGGTGAAGTAAGAGAACTGTTCTATTAGCTGTAGTGTTAGATTGTTTAGATTTCTTTTTCTCTAGTTCCTGTAGAATCTACACCACCAATTTGCTGTTTTTCTTCCTTGATATACTGTGTGTACTGTGATGGCCTGTTTTTAAGTTTTTCAGTTTTGCAACTGAAAATTCCTGTTTTAAACCATCCACAGTGTGCAGTAAAACTCTTATGTCTTTGTTTCCAGTCATGAACCAGCATCTACAGTGGAGAGCTCCACAAGTCGCTCCCAAAGCCAGGTAACTTCATCCACCGCTTCCTCATCCCCCCACGCTGAAGGCCAGAGAGCAGCCCATGAGGGAGATTTCTCCCTGCCCCACTATGGAGTGCAGCAGATCCCTCAGTCATACAAAGAGCTGGCTGAGCCTTGGATCAAGGTGAGCTGAAAGTTGAGAATTGCTTCACCTTAGGAGATCCAGAGCTTTAAGAGGCATTTTTTTTTTGGTTTTTACATTTTTAATGCTGACGTATAATTTCAGTTATTGCCATTATTATGGTGAATAACATAGTTTTATCTTGCTGTTATGAGTATGTCAGCATGTCTCTGTCAAGAACAGCTTTTCTTCCCTCGTTTGGTCCTCACATTGAGAATTTACACTATTGTAGCATGTACAACCAGAGTTTGTTTCTCTCTCTTATTTTTGTTCTATATATTTCTCAAATTTACTTTGTAAGATACTTTGTAAGCTGGATTGATTTTACCTGGGGAGGTGATATAATTGAAGTGATTACTGTCAAGATCTGTAATTCTAATCCAATGAACTTCTGTAATTGCCTAACCCAGATGTTCCCTCAGTAATAGTAGTCTAGCTTAAATTGAGCTTGCGCTAATGGAAAAACAAAGCCTGCTAATAGGTACAGTTGTTTGTTGATGATGATGATGATGATGATGATATTGTTGATTTTGTTGAGTATGGTGCCAGTCAGGTAATTGTGACTGGGTTATAACCTTTCAAAATTTAGGGGAATTGCACAGCTTATATGAAATGGCCCATCAAATTTCTTAAAATTTGCATTATAGAACCTCCTCTGGTAAAAGTGGTCCATTTCAAATAGTCCTAAAGTGTGTCAATCCATGTTTGATGTATAATGACCTCCCTACTCAGGTGTTTGGTATGGAGCTGGTGGGGTGTCTCTTCTCTCGAAACTGGAATATCAGAGAGATGGCCTTGAGACGGCTATCGCATGACGTGAGCGGCGCTCTGCTGCTGGCCAATGGTGAGCGCTCAATGGCAAGCGGAGGTGCTGGAGCAGGGGCGGGGCTTGGAGCAGCAGGAAGTGAGATCTCAGGGGATGTGGTGGTTGAATCCTGCTGCAGTGTGCTCTCCATGGTCTGTGCAGACCCTGTCTACAAAGTCTACGTGGCTGCATTGGTAAGACATCGTCCCAAGTATTTTTAGTTATACCCCATTATTGTCCCTACAACAGTCAGTCGGTAAGCACAGAGGTCTTGATGAGTCCATTTCTAATGCCACATGCTTTTAAGTCAGGAAAAATAAATAAGATCAGTAATAGAGTATTTCAAACAAGATACACAGCCCATATTCCTCTAAAGCCAGATGTCGGAGACCAGTACTTAGTCTTGGTCAGTACTACGTCCGGTGCACAGTAGCATTGCTAGCGCTGAACTCGCTGAACTTGGCTTGTCGCTTAGTAGGAGTGGGCAACATGATGAAATTATGTTGTCATCATGATAAACTGCATCACAACAAGCTTTTCTGAGTGGATATTATCAGTACTTGACCTACTGCAAGTTTTAATTAAAGAGATTCAACAGTAGGTCCAAAAAGGTGAAGCCATCTAAGGTTTTATGATGCGTATCATGTATTATAAAAGTAATTTCAAGTATGACAATTTTGCCCTATTGCCCCACCCTCCCCTTTTGCTTAGTGCTCCGCACTGAGATTTGCTGTCGTTCATCTAAGCGGATCAGTCTGTGCCTTACCGTCATATTTTGCTCAGTTTCAGTGCTTTCTTGGGCTTCATAACGTTAGCTTCGAGCGCTCATTCAACCCCTTTATCAGATGCATGTGGAGCCTTCACACGATCACTACCCTGCATCACATGCGTTTCACCATGCATCATCACATGAAATGGTCACAAGTATGGCAGCTTATTTATTCTCATGACCATAAAGACAGCAGGCTTTTTACCACAATAGCAGGAAGTTGCACAACTCCAGGCCAGCTCATGTGCTCAAATGTTATGGGATGTCTGAGAAGTCCAGGTCAGGTTAGGATGACCTGGAGTGTAAAGCTTTTGTGTAGCCTCAGTGAGTGATGGGTACTTTTAGGCCACTTACTTAGTCACTTGTTTTTTTTTTTTTGTTTTTTATTTATTTATTTACTTATTTTTATTTTCTTCTTTTCTTTCTTATTTTTATTTTTTTCTTTCCTCTAATGCTCCCCAGACAAACAAAAGCAATACTGTGATTTATTGACAAATACACACCCAAAATATCCTCTTGAGGTTCATGGTTTTCTTTGATTTTTCTTTGATGGTCCACTAGGGCTTCGCGTTTATTTATTTTTGCTAATCGCAAACTTTTTTGGGAGCTTCTTGAGTATAACATTTTATAGTTTGGTTTTCCTTTCATTGACTTTTGTTTGAGGTTATCAGAGTAGTGCCAAAGTTCGATGGGACAACAAACCACGTTGGCTAGTTTTAAAGTTCACTTCAAACCAGGAAGTCTGAAAAGCTGCAGGGATCTTCAGGCTGGGGCTGAAAGAAAAGGTTTCTTTTTTCCACTCTTAACCTATTTCTGCTTCTTGTAAGGAACAATAGCTCTTGGTGGCTGTTTTCATGGCAGACTTCTGGGAGTTTGACATTTCCCTGAGGCTCTTTGCTCCAGCAAGCCGCAATTTTATGAAAACAAGAAAAGTTCTGTCCTCTTGGGGGTTTTCCAGCATATTTAGCGCAGTCGGATTTTGCTGTGTTCTTCTGACAAAGAAAGAGGAGAACGGAGTCCGTAGACTAAAAATACCATGAGCACTTGTGTTCAAGGGAAGGCCAGCAGCATTTGTGTCAAATCTCTGCTTTAGGAAAGCTTTATCGTTCCGTGAAGACTATTTTTCTTTGTAATGGTGGTGTTTGTATTGGGTGAAAACACTGTCTGCGGACTTAAAGTACTGGAAAGGACTGTTAGGCCGTTAACTGTGTTTGGATATCTACTTAGAGTTTTTTGCTGAGCAGTGAGTGTTCGCCCTTTTTCCTTTTCTTTTCTTCATCTTTCATAGCCTGGGGAAGGTGTAGGCGGCAAAGTGTATTTGTGTTTGTGGAGCTGGAGTGAGAAGGAGAATCAGAGCCTATCAGTGCTGGGCAACGTTCCAGTGCAATGCACTATCAGTCACCACTCCCCAGTTTTCTCTGGGAGTTAGGGTCAGGGTGAACTGTTTCTCACACTCACATAGACTATATTACTCTGTTAACGTGTTGAGTTCTTGCTGCAGATCCCAGCGTCCTTGTTGTCACAAGAATAGTCAGGCAAGGTCAAAAGTTCATGGCCATCTGTTTGGCCCTGTGACCCTGCATTACATACATACATCATTCAAACAGACACAGCTAGGCATATTTAATAGTTCTTTATGTGACTATCAACTCCAGGTAAAAGGAATAATAATAACCAAACATGCTATCTTGGCTAAAAACAAATGGAGGCCAATGGCCACCAATTAGCATGCCCCTTTTGGAAGATGCTTTTCATTCATTCTTTGCAACACTAGCTTTTTTTTGACTGAACTATTCCTGTATAACTACATATGCCAACAATTACTATTTCACCAACATCTCCTTTACTAATTTCAATGTATATAAAAAGTTTGTTTAATGTCGATGTCATAGTTGTGCAGGTCAGTCTCGATTATGGAGACATATTAAGAACAGATTGTGTATAGTAAAGCATTTCTTATTCTGTGTGTCTGCCCTTTGTACAGAAAACACTGCGGGCCATGCTGGTCTACACGCCATGCCACTCTCTGTCGGAGCGCAGTCGCCTCCAGCAGCTGCTCCGGCCTGTTGTGGAGACCATCTTGGTCAAATGTGCCGATGCCAACAGGTAGTGCAGCCTCAATGAAAATTGTGTTGATTTAGAGCAGGGTGTCTAATCTTGTCTGCGAAGGGCCAGGTCTTCATTCCAAACAAGCAGCTCACGCTTGCTTCCACTTGTTTAATCAGTCAGTCTCAGCATTTAAACACCTGATCAAGTGCTTTGTTACAACAAAAACCTGCAGCCACACAGGCCCTTTGCAGACAAACTGGACAGCCCTGGTTTAGAGCATTTGCAGGCTTCACTAAAAGTAAATTCCTGCCACCTAGTGGCAAGTCATTGTAATTGCTCACTGAATTTTTTTGGCATGTATTTAAAAGAATTATATTCACAGATATTCACAATATGTTCATAAATGTAAATAATCTTCTCAGTTTTGCATGTTGGAACTAAATCAAGATTCTTTGTGTGTTTGCAGTCGCACCAGCCAGCTATCTGTGTCCACACTTCTGGAGCTCTGTAAAGGGCAGATAGGAGAGCTGGCTGTTGGCAGAGAGATTCTTAAAGCAGGTATTAAAATATGTCCTCAATAACTAATAAACAGATTTCTGTAATTAACTAATTCTAGAGCAGATTATGATTTGCACAAGGCTAATTACTTATGTCCTGACAACATACAAATACATACTACCTTTTTAAATGCTGCAGACTTTTTCTTAAGACATATTATTCAGTAACTTCTATAAGGTATTGGTTTTATAGTAGTTACCAAATAGTGATTTATGTAGTTATGATGGTTAGGGAACTAAAATGTTGACTAACATACATAAAATTGCAATTTCAATGAGTTACATTAAGGTGTTTAGTTCTATTTTGTACATAATCATTGCTTATATTGATTTGTTTTTTTTCATGTTTTATTCTGAGATTTTAATGGCGAGTCATTATAAAATGTTTTTTTTTCTTCTTCTTCTTCCTCTGTGTTGGCTCAGGATCCATTGGTATAGGTGGGGTGGACTATGTGCTGAATTGTATCCTGGGCTCGCAGACCGAGGCCAATAACTGGCAGGCTCTGCTGGGCCGCCTCTGTCTAATCGACAGACTGCTGCTGGAGTTCCCAGCCGAATTCTACCCTCATATTGTCTCAGCATCAGACTGTGGACAGCCCCAGAATCAGGTGGAGAGGTACAGGACTTCCCCATCTAAATATCAACATCTGTCTGTTCTGATGGATACAGCATTAAGGTGCCCTGTTACAATGTGAGCACAAATCACAAAGAAATCTATCATTGATGGGGCCTCTGCATGTTATGAAAACCTAGTAGGAAATAGAAGCGAACTGATAGAAGAAAACTGAAGTCTTCTTAAAACATACAGTAGTATACAACAGTGTGAACATTCCTGGTCAAATGACATATTTTATTGATTTGCTAAGTGAAAATAAGTAAACACATCCTCTCCAAAGAACTAAATTATGGCATTTTCACATTTATTTGCTAAGTTTGATATATCGTTTAAAAAAACAAACAAAAAGAAAAATCCTAATATATTAATGTGCCAGTGCTTTTGCACAGGTCACTTCTTTTACATTCTTTTGGTATACTTTTGGTAGGCCTGGTCCTGCTGCATTGCACACTTAAGTGTTTTTCTTGCTGTAACATACCCACTTCCACTCTGGAATGGCTAGGTAATTAACTGATGTTAGAGCAGGGAAAACAGAAAAATATGCAGAGGTACTCCAGAAACCAATACCATAGGTGATATTGAATTTTCCTGTTTACTTGAAGTTTGCAGTTGTTTTTAAAGCTTGCTGACCCATATGATGTGACCCTGCTTATGATTTCATATATATTCCAGGTACCAGAAGCTGCTGCCTCTGCTGAGCTTTGCGCTGCAGTCCATCGATAACTCTCACTCCATGGTGGGGAAGCTCTCTCGTCGTGTATTCCTAAGCGCCGCCAGAATGGTGGCCCGCGTGCCTCACATCTTTGTCAAATTGCTGGACATGCTGAGCGTCACCAGCTCCACCCACTATGCCCGTATGCGCCGCCGTCTGCTGGCCATTGCGGAGGAGATGGACATTCTGGAAGCTATCCACCTAGGCCTGGAGGATGTGCAGATGGCTTCTGGCCAGCACCAGCACTGTGAGGCCTTTCTGGAACCTTCAGCACCTCACAACTCACCCATTTCCACAGAGAGAAACTCACCCACACTTGGGCTGCAGCACCCTGGCACGACAGGGCGAGTAGGTGTGGCCGGTGCCAAACCTGCAGATGAAATCGCAGAGAGGCTAGCAGCTATGACTACTACCACCAGCCATGCTGACCAACCAAAGCCACCAGTCCAGCTCCGCTCTAGACCCGTGAGCCAGTGTCTTAATTCGCCCTCCTCCAGCCAAGCACCCACCTTGCCCTCTCCTTCCACGTCCCATGCCCCAGCTTTCCCACCAGACAACCCCAAAGCCCGGCCACAAAGTTTTGTTCTTGGCAAGTTCACACAATCTTCCCCTGGTGCCCAGCGCAAGTTCCCTATACAGAAGGGAGCTGGTGGGGCCAGTAAGGACCTAGAAAAGTTACCTTCACCCGTGTTCTCCCAAGCAAGGCCACTGCCATCCACTCAGATCCACCGCCCCAGACCCTCTAGACCCTCCCCTTCCACCTCTTCTGATGGCACTAAAGCACTGTGCCTTGGAGCCAAGAGCAATATGAAGCTTGAGCTTCAGGACCACCAGTCAGCAGACAGTCCTGGTTCTGTGTTCATCCCCAGTGATGATGCAGTCTTCACACCCGTGGAAGAGAAGTTCCGTGGCCTAGACGCTTCAGCTGAGCTCAACTCTAGCATGGAGGATCTTCTGGAAGCTTCCATGCCAGCAGCGGACAGCACCGTGACCTTCCAGTCAGAGGTGGCTGTGCTGTCTCCTGAGCAGCCTGGCACCAGTGATGACACCTACAATGAAGACATGACTCAGAACCAGAAGTGCAAGGAGAAGATGGAAGCTGAGGAGGAGGAGGCACTGGCCGTAGTCATGGCAATGTCTGAGTCTCAAGATGCCCTGCCCGTCATCCCACAGCTGCAGGTGGACAAGGGAGAGGACGTCATCATCATTCAGGTGGATGTGAGTGCACAGAGGATATTTTTAATTTAGCCATACATCATTAAAGAATGACACAGTTTGATTCTGTGACTAAATAAATGCAAGTTTAGTGCCATAATCTGTTTTGGGTAGAGATACATGTGCTTCCAGATGATCATTAACATTACCTATCCATCCTCTCAGACCCCAGAGACACTACCTGGTCATACCAAAGCGAAACAACCCTACCGTGAGGGTCTGGAGTGGCTAAAAGGTCAGCAAATCGGCCTGGGAGCATTCTCCTCCTGCTACCAGGCACAGGACGTTGGCACTGGAACACTGATGGCTGTGAAACAGGTGTGTGGGTACATGCTCGCGATGAGAGATATGTACATGCCATGAATAAAGCATGTGATGAGAGCATTCACCTTTAGCAGAATGACAGGGAAAACACAAGTTAATAATATTTACAATACTTTTAAGCACCTGAGAAGATAATACTTACAAAGCTGTTTAACTGTTTTTGAAAACACTAAAATTAAAATAAATACAAATAGTATCAATACAGTAAGTAGTGATTTTAATGTATTTCAGTGTGTTTTGTTTCACCATTTTCAAACCTCTTCTCAAGAAAGCCTAACATTATTTGTAGTTACCATCTAATACCTAGTTTGACTGATCAGTCCTTCTTTAAATTGAATCATGTGTGCTGGGGGTGCATTTGAACGAATCTGTGTGACTGTTTACGGCATCATGGAGAAATCTGGAACCTTATTTTCAAACCAGCTCACAACATCTCAACGCTTCTTTCAAAAATAAGAATTTTTTGTTGATTTTACTGTATTTATGTTTATTCTAGTTATATAGAGTTTTTACTGGCAAAAACACTTACAAATTAGATAACTGTGAACAATTTACATAAATGCCTAAAACCTTTGCCTGGTACTATAAAGATGTTGAGTATTTATTATACACTGTATGGACTTTAAAAGAAATTTTTAAAAGAAATGTTAAGATATTTCTTTTTTAATTGAATTTGGAGCTCAACCTTAGATGTGATACAAGGAAGTGACTCAAGAAATGGGGTAATGGGCAACTCCATTATGGTGGCGTAATCATATCTGTATTGGCCCATACTGGCTTAAGAAATGTGCCACAATACAGTTCTTTTTGTTTTACGTACTGTGCTGCAATAAATCTAATTAAACAGGTCAGCTAATAAAACATGCTGTCTTTGGAATGAAACATACAGTGGTCAAGTACTGACGATGTACACTGTGCTCAGAAAAACATATGGTCATCGTTTATCACGGTATTACATTACCAACCCCTAAGCCCAGATTCACCGTTGCCTAAACTATGCCTGAGGGAAGTATTCACACACTAGTGTAATATAGACATTAATAATGTTTTACCCTTAGAAAAAAAGACATTTCAAAATTCATGCAGTTGAAACGCAACATTCAGGTTGTCACGTGTAAACTCCCCTATGGTTCATATCCAGCTTAGGAATTTTGTTCAGCAAAAGAATGTATAGGCTCTTGCATTGACTTCCTGTGTTGTGACCTCCTAGGTGACGTATGTGCGGAATACCTCCTCAGAGCAGGAGGAGGTGGTGGAAGCTCTGCGGGAGGAGATCCGGATGATGGGTCATCTCAACCACCCCAACATCATCCGCATGCTGGGTGCAACGTGTGAGAAGAACAATTACAACCTGTTTGTGGAGTGGATGGCAGGTAGGCTCTAGTTTGGGAGATCTGTAGACCAATATACACTGTAACTGATCTGGAGAGTTTTAGTGGAATACAGTTAGTTCATTATGAAGACAATGAATAGATTAACCACATGTAAAATCAGAGAAAACAAACTGCACAGCCTAGTCCTTCCTAGCCTGCTCTGAAGTTTCACTGGAAAATGTGTGCAAATTGATCTGAAACCAATGGAGCGATTCTCACAACAGAAAATCAAACACATTTTGATTGTTCAGTAGATGATCCATTTTCCCTTCAGTTTCCTCTTTGGCAGAGCCTGGCAGCCCTCACAGTTCTCATAAAATTCTTTGATGTTTTTATTATGGAATCTCTTCTGTGTTCTGGAACCTTCCATCACGGTCTAAAACAGTCACCTTCCTCCATTTCCTCCCAGGTGGCTCCGTATCTCATCTCCTGAACAAGTATGGGGCCTTTAAGGAAGGCGTGATTATCAACTACACAGAGCAGCTACTCAGAGGCCTGGCCTACCTCCATGAGAACCAGATCATCCACCGTGACATCAAAGGTGAGCTACACACTTCCACATGAAGGCTCTGTTAAAGGAGAACTCCACACATTGTTTTTGGTTCAGACATCTGGCAGCATATATGTAACCACTTCATGTAACAGCTTTCTGTGAGCAAACCTTTTGGGGCATTAAACGCATTAGACGTCTTTGTTTCTATCACCACTACTGTGAACAGTTCTGGCTCTTAAGTTTTTGTAAACCGGAGCATTTCACATAAAACCACTCTGAATGGCTCAGCATAACAATTTATGTAGAAATTCTTAAACATTTCTGGAATTTCCCTGTTAATGTACACACATTTCTACAGCACCTTCTAAGACAGAGGATTAGACATCGTGAACCTTCCTCACTCTTCAATCCTGGTCCTCTGTCTGTAGTTTAGAAGGAGATGTTATAAAGATGTGAAAAACAAGTATAGATGGTAAAACGTTCTCTTTCAGTCTTCCTTTGCATATATGTATCTGTGCATAATCCTTATGGGGTTATACCTCAATGCTGGGAGACGTGATTTCTCAGTGAGCCAAATAGACCTATTTTCCAATAGGATGTTAGGAATCTGGGGGATCATACTAATGTTGGGCTTAAATGACCCTTTTTGCTAATTGAATGAGAGATCTTGCTGTGTAAAATAAGTAAGTTGAAGCTCTTGTAGTTTAACTGCTTTAAAAAAAAACAAAAAAAAACTGCTTTAGATTAAAGCAGCTGCTAAAGAATAAAATACAATTTCATTTATTAATTCAATAATCTATCTTTTATTGTGTACTACTTAAGTGGTAGCTTGTTAATCCTTTGCAGTATACCATACCAGTGTCTTATTTTGTGAAATTTTTTTTTTTTTTTGATGGCTTTCCCTCTCTTTGATTAGGTGCCAACCTGCTGATTGACAGCACAGGCCAGAGGCTGCGGATAGCTGACTTTGGCGCGGCAGCCAGGCTGGCCTCCAAGGGCACGGGTGCAGGCGAGTTCCAGGGCCAGCTCCTGGGAACCATCGCCTTCATGGCCCCCGAAGTAAGACCAAGTGGCAAAACAGGCATATCGAAGCACCAGCATGCTTCATTAATGCAAGGCCACCAACTCAAAACATGGCCCCTGCCTTCTCCAAATTAACTCGCTTATCTCAATTCAGACCAAACCTCCATATACAATGTTATTTCGTCCTGGTTAATTTGCTTTTGTGAAGAGAGTGCCCACAGAGGTGCAGTCCTTGCCTTGCCTTTTAACTCCGGGCATTTAAATGTCAATGGCCTCCAACAAAGCTGTGGCCAAGTCCAGTGACCACTCTGTGTGGCATTCAGAGTCACGTGGGTTGCTGGAGAAACTGGCCAAAGTGGATTTAGATCTCTCACTAACTCCAAATGAAAGAAAATTGTAATCCTTTTGAGGCAGTCACAATGGCCTGGCCCCTTAATGCCTTGTTATCATTGTGGGCCCAAACCTTGTTTAATTAGGAGGCAGTTCAGCAGGCCTTGCCTCCTCCCTGGCACTGAGCTTCATTACTGAAGCCTCTTCATGCTGAACAGCCCCCCCTTTTCTCCTTTTCTTCTCCGTGCAAGCGCTAAATAATAAACACATTCTTAGAAGTTTGATCTTTGGAAGTTCTTGAAGGAGATGAATGAAAAGACTCTAATTGCAGTGGTCAGAACCACTGGGGCTATGGAAATTTTGAAGCTACCATTTTGCTTTCAACAGAGAAATGCTGAGTTCCTTGAAGTTGGGCAGTAGCAACATTTCCAAATTTCAGTATTACACTCAGTGCCAAGATTCTGAATTAGTGGGTCTGGTGATAATGGCTGATGGTGTAGGCTGCATGGTAATGGAGTGTTGTGCTCCTGCAGGTGCTGAGAGGGCAGCAATATGGCCGTAGCTGTGACGTTTGGAGTGTGGGCTGTGCCATCATTGAGATGTCTTGTGCAAAGCCCCCTTGGAATGCTGAAAAACACTCCAACCACCTGGCCCTCATCTTCAAGGTCAGTAACATGGCAGACACATATATTTGGACATTATGCTTCCCTTCTACATCTTACGTTTTCTGCTCTATCACAACGGGGGGTATTGTGAGGCTCTGACAAATATAAACAGAGTTTCCACACATCCTGGAGAACCTGGAAAATTACAGACTAGTTTTTCAGTCAGGGAAATACCTGGAGCTACCTCAGTATGACATTCATCTTACTACACTGTACTTAACGTGACTGAAACATTAGTCAGCAGAAAAATCTCGCATTTTAGTGTGTTTTGTAGAGGATGTGTCAACAAAACGTCAACAAAACATTTCACTTGGGTGTTAACACTTTTGCATATGACTTAAGTCATGTATTTTGTCCTATGAAAGTCTTGGGAAATTGTTTCCTAAAATGAGTGGGAAGCATGATCACCTTTCACTGTGTTGTGAAGATGAGGAAACCTGAAATAAGCTTTCTAAAGCAAAGTATGTTTATTCCTACAGTATAATAATTCTCAAAACAGTCTATTACAGTCATTTTGCTGTATTATTTTAATGTAAAAGTAAAAATTAATCACATAATTATGTAAATAATTGTATTTGCATTTGATTTTTGCTCTGTGTTTACAGGTTCCTGTCTATATTTCTGACTTTTTCTATTTGCTACATTGATTAGATCTGGATGTACAACAAAAAAATTCAAATCAAAATAAAATATTTTCTCTTTTACTTACAAAAACAAAAGTGGTAGCAGTTAAAAGTTGACAATCCACACTTTTGACAGAATTTCTCCACTTGGTTCAGTGAGCTAAGAGAGAGAAATGATTTCATATGAAAATGCATCTTTCTTTTGTTATTACCAGGGTTATTCCCTGTCAAATTGCCTATGTAGTAACCTAGATATTATGCTCACCCTCAGATTGCCAGTGCCACCACAGCACCCACCATCCCCCCGCACCTGTCCCCAGGCCTGAGGGACGTCACCCTGCGCTGCCTGGAACTACAGCCTGCTGACCGGCCCCCTTCCAGGGAGCTGCTCAAACACCCCATCTTCCGCCTCAGCTGGTAACCCCATGCAACCCCGCCAACGTAATACTACTACTATTACTATTACTACTGAAGGGCCTGTGTGGCCTGTACCCCCTCACTGCTGTCATCTCCTCAGCACTAGCACTAGCTCAGCCACACACATACTCTCACAGTGGGGTCCTTACTGCTGTAGCCTCAGCACATGATGCAAGAACAGCCCACCGTAAGCCTCCTCTACCCTGCGAGTGCCTTTACGACAGTGCCATGTCCCAATACGACAATGCCATGTTCATTATATTCTGTTTCTGTCAAGGCGAGTCCCTGTGCTAGGTGGTGAACTCTTCTTCTTGCACTTTTATGTTGATAATTTCCATCACAGAAAGGTGCTGAAGAGCTTTTAGCGTCAAACTTTTTGTAAGCAGTCATTTCAGTTGGTTTAAGATTCCAGACGTTTGAGAACAAGAGTTTAAAGGTTCAAAGTAATGATGTCTGTTATTAACTGGTATGTTTTTTTTTTGTTTGTTTGTTTTTTTTTTCACTTTTAAGTGACTTTGTATTTGTGCATTTTACTGTTGGGCCATCATGTTTTTCCATACAATGTACAACACCATGAACGGGTTTCAGGGAAAGGTAATTTTGAAACTTGGCTAGTTCAGCTAGCATAATGCTGAATGTGAATGATTATAATGCCGGTATTTGTCTAAATGTTTTTATTTTCTCCAAATCTCAATGGAAATCCCATGTGTAAATGTATAATTTTTACATATTGAGGAGTTAAGGATACATTTTTTTAGCTTTCTGCGTTTAACTTTGATTCAGTTTTGGGATCTCCGTTAAAGCGGTCATAAAGGCTTTAAAGGAAAGTTTCAAAACGACGTCCCAGTTGAACACCCTCACTGATCTCTTAACTCGTGATGTTACTTTAAAGAAAAGTCATTTTGCGGTTCGTTTTTTTTTTTTGCCTTTTCTGTTGGACATTATCAGTATGAGCCTTCAGCTAAAGCTGTCATTTTATTAAGAAACATCTTTTGACTATTTTTTTCCTCATCAGCCGTGTTCTTGGTGCTTGTTCAGTCATCATGCTAATTATCTGATTTATGTTTTTGGTTTTATTTAATTCAGTGGTTCTTAAAGAAAATCTCCAGTACGTGTTTTGAAAGGATCAGTGTCCACCTGAGCATTTCTGGTTCCATCTCATGGTGTTCTTTTTCTTTGTAATGAATTTGAATGCTGTTGAACATTTTGGTGGAGGGATATTACTGAGCTTATGCCTTTCCTTCTCATAAATGTTGTTATATTTGGAAGTAAATCTGCTCCTTTCTTTTGGAGTAGAAATGTTGAGCATGTTAATCGTATGAACTGTAACTCTTCAAGTGTTGGTGTTGTAGTTGTAGTCAAAGGATGATGAGGATCATTTTTGAAAAATCCAAAACATTTGCAAAATATGCATTACAGTGCTAATGTCAGAACTCCCTTCACTCGGTTCGAGTGAAGTGACCTCGAGAATTTGTGACAATTTAAAGATTATTTTTAAAAGAGAAATGAAACTTTATTTAATGCGAGTCCTATTTTCATGTGGAGTACAAGCTGATCAAGCTTGAAGAGTTAAGATGTAAATATATATGAATTTTTTGGTAGCTAAATTTATTTTACTTGACTCCTGTATTTTTATACCACACTTTTTTTTCCACAAATACATATTTTTGTTCCTGCTTTGGATTTATTTGACTTTTATCTTTCTTTTCAATGTCTTTATAAAAGCTTTAAAGTTATGCACTCTTTGTCTTTTTATATACTGGAAAAAATCAGTTTCAGTCAAATTCATAAAAGCTAATCAGTATTACTTAAATATGTCATGCCTGTAATTCGAACTTGAGGTTCTTCAGTTTTCTTCCTTCTGTTCTGTATTTTATTTTATGCTTTTCATTGTAATCATTTGCCCTTTTTTGGATCAGAGCTGGACTGAAAGTGTGTGAAATAATGCTGTTTCTTGTAACTTGGTACTCTCCACCCCCCCCCACCCCACCCCCCTTCTCTTACTCCTGTTCCTCCTTCTCCTCCTCCACCTCCTCCTTGTTTTTGTGTTGTTTTTTTTCCTTTGGTTAAAATAAGTCTATTGCTGTTTTATTCCAGTCTCTACTACCTCAGGTGTCCTATAGAGTTTCCTCTACCAAAGTTCACTTTCTCAATATATAATTATATATATAAATATATATTCTTTTTGACTGTTATTTGTTTTTTTTTTTATCTCTTTTTCAAAGATTTCCAGGGCTTAAGGGCTAACTTGTATTAGCACCTTTTTATTGTGCAAATAAACTCATGAAATCTCTGGGTTAAGAAAAAAATGAAAATTGGCTTAAGCTGTATCTTTTAATCTTAAGTATATTGAAATGTTTTAATTATTAAAGTTTTTACCCCAATTGAAGCATTTTATAACAAATTTGACTTATTTTGGTGTTCGTCTTTTAGTAAATAAAAAACGGGAAAATGGTTTCATTCCTCTTGTATGCTCACGTTATTTCATTGTCTTGTCCCTTTGGCAGGTTGTTGTGCATTTCTACTTAACTTGCTGGCAAAGCAATCAGCAGCACTGAGTTGATGTAAAAGGGGAAGGGCATTGAAGTCACCACCACTGTAAAGAAATCTCTTTAAACTTCTCGGTAATGAAAAAGTCATTAAACTTCTCAGTAATGAACCATTTCACATCAAACCACTCTAAATGACTGTCTACATCTGAAAAAATTAATTATACAAGAAGTTAAAAAATTGGTGGAGTTTCCCTTTAACATGGCTTGCTTCTGCTTTCAGAAAGCATTTGAAAAATATACTACAGCACCCTCTTGTGGACACCAAACTTGGGTGCTCCTGATCAAATGCAAATCCTATATGCTTAAAAGTGCAAAGGTCAGAAAGCCTGTGCAAAGACTGAGTTAATGTCTATTTCAAAACTTTGTGGGTGCAGCTGAAAATCTGGAGATAGGATTGTTTACATAAGCACTACACCGATTAACCTACAGTGGCAAATAGGCCATTTTTATCAGGATTATAATAACTAAAAGATAAAGATATAAATACATTTTTTAGTAAAAAATTTAGTATTGTATCAAAATTTGGCCCAAGTAAAGTGTAAGTATGGAGCCAAATAATAAAAATAAAAAGATAGCAATTACACATGCACAATTATATTCAAAAGTAAAGTGTGCCACTGGAAGTGACCTGCTCAGGCATGGGAGGACAATTTGAGAGCAGCATTCACTTCTATTCATTTCAGGCTAAATAAAGGCACTTCAGAGCCATTTTAGATTACTACATAGCCTATGTCTGGACTGTCAGTCCTTTGATCCATAAGCCTGTGGCTCACCTTATAGCTTAAAAATCCATTTTTCTATGATAGTAAAGCAAAAAGCATTTCACTATTGTTATAGAAGCTTTTTGTGGTACTGTATAGTAGAGGGGAGCCCTCAGGCCTTTTAAGCCTTCCAAGAAGCCTAATAATTTCGGTGACATATACACAAATATGTCTGTAATTTATAGATTATTTTTATTTAATAATCATGTTTGTTGTATTTAACATCTGCTGATATTGTAGTAATACTCTTATTTCATTGTTAAGATCGGTTGGAAACAAAAGAGCAACTAACTATAGGTATCAGAAAGCATCCCGGCCTGTTAGGGTGCCGTTTGGGACGGGCCTTGTGCGCGCAAGTCATTGTGTGAAACTTGTTCAAAGCTTTAGAGTCAACGGATGATTCCAAAATGCCTGGAATCCAAGGATCCGCTCTTTTTCAGTAAAAATACATCTACGTTTTACATGGGTACATGTGCTCGTTCTGCCAAATTAGACATGTGAGGCCTGTTTTATGGACACTAACAAAGCAGAATACAAGACTATGAAAGATGATGAAATTTTTCAGTTGAATGCAAAAGGTTGAACATCCCCAGTCAAATTATGTTTTCAAATTACCTACTTTCAAACAATTGACTCCATCAGATCAGTGGAAAAAAATAAAACAGAAGATGGTTTATTGGGCAGCTAAAAAGGGAGTTGAAGGCAACTCACAACATATAACTAGTTGTATGAAAGTTTCACTGGAAAATCTGCCAGCCTAAAGCTGTGATTAGCATAAAGCAGTGGTGCGTAATAAGGTGTGATTCAGAGTAAATGTGTGAGACCGGCATGTGTGAGAATTTCTTTTTGGGTACAGAATCTCATTATACAGGATGGTACAATCAATTCATCTGCAAAACTTTAATAAAGGATTAAAGAACCCAACTGCAGTTTCCTCTGAATGCACCTTTAACTCAGCAACAAGGCAGGATAGGACACTTATGATACTTCATCTGAACCTGTTGGTGTACACTTAAGGGTTGTATAGACTTGATCTATATTTTGATTTCAAAAGATTGATAACTGCATCCAACATGTTTTGAAATAAAAAAGGAAAAATCAAGATTTTGCTTCACTGCAGACAATATTTTTTTAAAATGATTTTAAAATGCTGAATTTAACAAATATACTTTTAATATATCCTGGTAAATAATCTGAAATTAAGATATGTGACTGTTTCTATTCATTTGTTTCAAGGTCAAATCATCTATTTAAAAAACAAACATTTTTTATTTCTTACTTGACACTCGTGCCTGTTTAAGAGTTAAACTAGGCTGTATAGGACCTCGGCACTGTTCTGAGACAGGTGGTATTTCTGATCTATTTTTTGGACTTTTGTACGGTTTTGTTTTTAGATATATTTGCTGTATTTTCCTCTTTGCTGCGATTGAACGGCCAGCCTCACGTTGTCATGGTGACGGCCCTGCGCTTCCTCGCGGATTCGCGCACTGACGTCTCTGACAACATGGCCAGCCGTCAGACGTCCTCGCTGATTGGTCGGCGCTCTCTCCCCATACGCCGTCATTCACTCACACCATTGAACCACTGGCAGCACGGCTCGGCCGCTCGCTTTCTGATTGGCCCGGGATTCGGAGGGGGCGGGGCACAGAGAAACTTCAGAACCAGCTACTATGCGCTGATTGGACGCTGAAAAGGCGTTCAGTGAAGCTACTGTAGATCCCTCAGGTACATCCAACGCGCCGTATATAAACAGAGAGTAGGCAATGCGTTTCAACTGCACTCTTTCCACGCCGGCAACAGTGTCATTAGGTTACAGTAAGCCTATTGATTACGTGTTATACCTGTTAAGAAATTTAACTCTCTGCACAGGTGAGTGAGATTTATTTCATCACATCTGCATAACAAATTATTGTTTATAAACAGGCAGTAGATTTAAGTCAAACTAGTAAACACTAGTTTTTGTCACAGGCACAAGCAAGTAAATTTATACGTGCAACTTTAGACTTACTAATAATTCATAGATTACAGTACTGTTATTAAGTATTTTACTTGCTGTAGTGTTAAGATACTAGTCTGTAACAGCAGACACAATTATGTTCAGAGAAAAATAATTTTGAGTATAAAGTATAATAAAAAATAGCATCTAATGGCATCAAACAATTCATTTTCACCATGTTGTAGTGTCAAATGCTAGCAAAATAAACTTTTAGGTTCCTAAACATTGCAGTTGCAATAAAATTGGCTGGTTTGTTTTGTTTATAAGACATCTTAAAGTCTGTTTTATGCATTCATTAACATTGTCAATTAAACTGAGCTACAGACTAATCCTAAAATTAACAAATATTGACCTCACTTTGAGTGCATAATGTTTTTAGAAGCAGTGAAGAAATGGCAGCACAATAATGACTGAGTAATTATACAAAGCTCCTCAATAGGCTTCATAGTCCAGATGCTTAACAGGCTAAAAAAAGTGCACAAGAAGGGTCAGCTTCACATTATTTATGCATACTGTCATTAGCATTCATAAATATTTTTGTTAACCCATTTATAGATAGATATGAAATGTATAAAAAAATTGAAAAAACATCTGAGTTTTAATTAATTAATTAATGAATTTTTTATCATTCAATTTATTGTTGAATGTGGCATTTGGGTCACATGGGGCCACTGATTTCTAACAAAACAAAACATCTAATAAATGTTTTAAAATGACATCTATTCGAATCACTAAAGAGGCAGAGCAGTTTAAGACCAGGTTCTGTGGTATTTTTCTAATCATTCTTAATGTAGTTTTTTCTTTTATTGCGAATAACCATTCATACAATGAGAGAATGAGAGCGTTAGATAACGTTAGCTCATTAGCTTAGTATCGCAAGACAGCAGCTGAACATGAATGTGACAGCTTTGCTAGCTACGCACACTGGCCATGCAGGATGACTGTAAGGATTAAAATAGGCGGCTTTCTATACTACAAATTTAGCCTAGGTTTACTGTTAAGGATAGCTACATTTGCCAGCTTAGTTTAGCTAACTTACCGCTTGCTGAGGGTGTACAAAAACAGACTCCGATTCATTTAAAGCAAATGAAAACTGGCGGCAATTAAACAAAACACAACTTTACTATTATTTCAGACATGTTCCTAAACAATAATTTATCAAAATTAAACTATTAAAATTAAAAACTCACCTAAAATCTGTGACACTTCCAAATCTCTCATTTGTCCGTTGCCCTTTGCCGTTAACGTTAGAAATTTAAAGTGACGTCTGCACAAAAAAGGTAAAGTTAACTAAGTTAGCTAGTTAAATAAAGTTAGTGGCGACAGGGAGCACTGACCCGACCGCTGGACAAAGAAAATAACTCAACCATTCACACCATTAACCCAAACTGTGTAATGGAATGAGAGGGAGAAAGAGAAATAACCAAGGTAAACAATCCGACTACCTGAACCAGCACTGAGGTAGAAAAAAAAGACCCAGCACTTTTCTGGATGTATAAAGGGCTTATGAGGGTTAAATAAACGCTCATCAAAAAAGTAGTAAAACATAGTGGCTTTTAAGGCGAATTTCTTTAGCAGTCTTGCTTTTCAAGTCTAGAAACAGATCAACCCGAAAAGAGTAAGAAAGTACACAACAGAAAAAGTAGGTGTTCAGTGGAAAATGCCGTTGCTTTAACGTTACATGGTAACCTAGTGCGCTAGAGCGCATCTCCTCTGACAGAAACGCGTTGAACCTAAGTGCTCTACGGAAGTGAGTCCGTCAGCATTGTGCTCCGACCATACTGTCTGACCTTATGATTTGCCGAAAGGGGCAGCGGCTTCTCTCCTCACACTCAGAGTCATCTTCTGCTATATGATTGTAAGGTAAGGGTGGAGATACGATCGGCTGTGTTCGGGTCAGGAAACGCAGGTGTCAGATAGGGGCGGAATAGTGAAGCTGAATGCTGCGGAGGTAAATCTGGTCCGCCCATTAGTTCTCTCCTAGCATTCTTAGCCCTCGTGCTGAGGCTAACGAGCTAATAAAGCTCCCCGGTCCCTGACAGGCTGGCTGCTCTGACTTCGGCTTCTGAGAGTTTGGTCTGTGTAACGGAAGACACAAATGTAAGTAGCCGCGGTGTAGTTAAACCGTTTAACCAAGCCGAAGTCGGCTAC